CATTGGAAAGTCGAAAGGGGCAAAACTTGGGCTTTCCCCTCCTTCCATACTTGAGCAAGCAAGCCCCTTTTTTCAATGCAGTAATGGCCTGTCATTAAGATCAACAAAGGACTTCAGTAAGCATAAGAACTCTTATAACAGAGAGGAAACAATGAATAAGCATACCAAACGGATAACATTTGATTAACTGACAAGCACCAAGAGTATCCTGTATCTAACACTCTTATCTAAGTAATTAGTAAATATTATAGTTACAGTACACTAAATTCGCCCTGTATTTCTTTAAGAGAGCATGGTATTCAAAACTTGAATAATCCATAAAGAAAGAAAAATACTCCCAGTGCCTCACGTTAATTGTTACTCATAGAATATTAGCTTGTCTTGGATTATTTGTCACTTTAAAATATCAAGTATGGGTTACTTTTTTTCTTATTCATGGTATCTCATTCCAACATGAATTAGTTAGACCTTCTACCTAACTCCTAGATCAATAAAAGTAATTTACTAAAGCAGAAATTAAGTAAATTAGAATTCTAACTCTGAAAAGAAGCCAAATCTCAATCTATATACTAAAATAAGCAGTCATATCTATATACTAAATCCATATACTAAAATAAGCAGCCAAATCTATATACTAAATCCATATACTAAAATAAGCAGCCAAATCTCTGAAAAGCACTAGAACTCATAATGGGTTTGGATCCTCTAACTTTTATTTCTTTACCTCTCTCTAACTTTCCCTCTATCTCTCTCTTGATTTACTTTCTCTCACATATTTTTCCCTCCAAAATCAAATCCACCATCTCTTTTATTTCATCTAAAATTTGCCTAAAGTCACTCTAACTTTCCCTCCCAAAAGTTATAGAATCCTTGTCCAACTCATAACAGGTACCTAATGTTTATATCAAAACAGTAATTAAATAAATTAGAATAAAAAAAATTCTAGTGACGGCTCATAATCGAAGATTTTTCACTGCCATTCATAACACTATGTGATCTGTCTAAACTGGTAATATCCATATACTAAAATAAGAAGCCAAATCTTTGAAAAACACTAGAACTCCCGACACGTACCTAACGTTTATATCATAACAGTAATCAAGTTAAAACAAAAAAATTGTAGTGACAACTTATAATCAAAGATTCTTCACTGCCATTTATAACACCGTGAGATCTGTCTAAAGTGGCTTGAGCTGATGATCCAGCCAAATATTTCAAAAGCACTAGAGCTCCTAACACGTAATTAAAATTTATACCAAAACACTCCTTCAGTAAATTAGAATTAATTCATTATTGGAGATTTTTCACTGCCTTTCATAAAACCATGAGTTCTGTCTAAACTAGCTTGAGCTGATGATCCCCGGGTAGCTTGCAGTCAAAGCAAATTATCGGATCAAACTTATTGCAACTAAACTTTAACTGACATTCCAGAAATTTTGCACTCCGAGAAAAACTTATCCAATAATCCCATACTCCCTCTCTCATCCCAAACTTGTATCAAAAACATCACTAACAAATGTACGCTTCACAGTACACAAAATTCAAGCAAACAGTACTCTATCAACAAAAGCAAAACAAAACAAAAAAAAAAGTTCCCAAAAAAAGCACAAAAATGACATATGCACCTGCTCAATGTCTCTTTCCGCGGCACCAGTTCTGCTAAGATCCGAAGTCATTCTATTCACCCGAAACAGAAAGAAAACCATCAATCAGAAACATTGAATTTCAAAATTAAAACACTAATCTAACACAATCTACAATATTCACTACATTTCATACCCGAACCCTTCCATTCATCAATTCAACCTAAGAATCCACTCAAACCCTCACTAAACTCAAAATTGGCGCGCTCCAACAGCTCAAAATCCTCAACGGAGCTCAAATCCACCATAATTAGAACCCAATCGTGCACTTTCCAGAACCATAACACTGCTCCGGAAATTCACGCGGTATTCCAGCAACGTGAATTTCTCTTGCTACCTCTTCCGGCACCGATTAGCACCGGCGGAAGGTGGAACGTTGTGGAGGAATGAAGCGATCGAGAAATGAAAGGGAGAGTGCACCGATGCACGGATTCAGGTGATTGAGAGGTCAGTGAAGTCAGGAAAGTGCGGCGGGGAAGAAAATCGAGGCGAGAAAATGCGGGAAATACGGAATAGGAGAATCTAGGGAAGTATGATCTGAAAATCAGTTGCAGAAGAGAGAGAAAGTGAGTTTTAGAGAGAGAAAGCAAAGTAAAATTATTATTATTATAAAAAACGAAAAAAATAAGAAGAAAGAAAGAAATACTGTGTCGTCTCTATGAATGAATGACTATGGCTGAGAAGTGTGTACTGAAGAAGAAAAAAAATAGAAAGAAGCTAAAAATTAAAGGGAAAGTAAAATCGGTGGAAATGTTGCCCTTAACATTGAAAATATTTCCATTTTTGCCATTTTTAGTTTAGAATTAAAAACTTTATAAAGAAAAATGCTATTTTGAAATAAAACATTGGCAAATAATAAGATCAGAAAAAGTTTTATTAAAAATACATAAAGGAAGAAAGAGATTTGATCATGAAAAACATATTCAACGATTGTGTTTGGAGATATTGAGCTTCTAATTTTATAATATTTTTTAAATGTTGTTTCAAGAGTTTATGACTTATAATAATTTAATTTTATTATTATTATTATTATTATTATTTTAATTATTTAAATAGGATATATATATATATATATATATATATATATATATATATATATATATATATATATATATATATATATATATATATATATATATATGAGAAAATTTTGACCTTCTATCTAGATAATTATCAATAAATATATTTTAATTAAATTATTAATCACAAATTAAATAATTACTAAATAATTACAATTGTAGAAATGCATTTTATCTTTTAGAGGAATAATCTCTATTGACAAATTTTAGAAACACCTTTTTAAAATGTGGAAATTTTCATAAAGGAGAATGTGTTAAGAGTTTTATATGAGAATAGATACAAATAATATGATTGAAAAAAAATAGTTTATCTATTTATAGAGAATTATTAAAACTCTAATGATTAATAAGTTGATTCATGTATATAATATTTAATCATTTTAATAAATTAATATGTCATAAAAATAAAAATAATATTTTTAATGATTTTTAGAAATTTAAAAAGAATACAATCTACATTTATAATAATAAAATAATATATGTTCTAAAATAATAAAAATAATAATATATAAAATAAAAAACATTAAAAGAAATCCTAAAAAAATATATAAAGTTAAATGAAAAAATAATAACTCAAATTAAATTATAAAAACAATATAAATTAATTAATTATTGATATAAATAAATCATTACTGTATATTTATAAAAATATATAATTTATAAAGGCGGGGAGGAATAATAAATTTATATAAATATGTAACTATTAAAATTTTAAATTTAGCTTATAGTTTAAACCTTAAATATTAGAGAGATATTTTTTAACTCTTCGTAAAGAGATTGGATTTAGAGATTTTTTTTTTCATTCACACACATTTTCTATTAGACTATTAGACTATTAGAGATTTTATATATATATATATATATATATATATATATATATATATATATATATATATATATATATATATATATATATATATATATATATATATATATATATATTCATAAATGAGTGAATTTTATATTGATTTTTATTTATTATATGTTATGTAGGATTTCTCATATTGTATTTAAAAGATATCTTGATAATGAGAATAATACATTTTTTTTTCTGCGTCTTTCTTTCGTCTTTACTCTTCTTCATATTAATTTTATAACATAAATTTTGATTAATCCTCTAAAAGGTTATATGGATAAATTCATAGAAAAATAGTTCATAAAGAACTTATCAAACATACCCGAAGGATATCAAAATAATAATTTGTTATATAATTTCTGAGGAAACGTATAAAACTTGCATGAAAAATATTCATCTTTATCATTATTTGAAGATCTATGATCTAGCTCTCGAAAGAAAAGTATATATATTTTAAAGGATCCCTAAAGGATTGCTCAAAGAATTATTTACTTTTATACATTGATCAAAGAAGGATTATTCCTTGAAGATTGATAAAAATAATGACTTTTCTATCTATTGATCTAAAAAGTACTACATATGTTCCTTTTTACAAGAGACAAATCACTTTTTAAGTTTATTGAATAGTTAATATATCTAGTCTATAAACTGATCAAATACATTGATTATTCAATGAATCTAAAAAAGAAGTTGTCTCTTATATAAAGAAACTGAGCTGGTATTAAATAATCTCAGAATGATTGCATCAATAAACATAATGATTTGTCCTAAATTTTGGAGAAATCAAATTTAGGCAAAATACTATTTTTGCTCCCTTAATTATACCATTAGGTTTATATTTGTTCTTTAATTTTTTCTATGTCAAATTGGTCATTTAACTCTTAAAATGTGTCATGTTAGTCCTTTTTGTCTATTAGCGGCCGATTTTTAAATTTTTTCGTGGCTAATTAGACAAAAAGGACTAACATGACACATTTTAAAAGTTAAGAAACCGATCTGACACGAAAAAAAATAATAAACTAATAAACTCAAAGGTATAGTTAAGGGACAAAAAGGATATTTTGTCTTATTTTTAATATATTTCACATAATGTTTTAGATATTTATATTAATTATATTTATTTTTTATTATAAATTTTAACAACTTTTCCATATCTCTCTCATTTATTAGATTTCTCTTTTATCTTGACATGTTACTATGAATTTACTTTTTCAAATTAATGTGTTTTTTTCATTGCTCATTAATTATAAATTTAATGCTTCTTATTTTATATTGTCAAAATTTTAAATGAAATTGTTCTCATGCTTATTATTTCTATACTTTTCATATTTTAAGCAATCAGATATGTTAATGGATTAAGGTTTTCTATTTGTTCTTCAATGGGTAGAGATAGAGAGAGAGAAAATGTGGTGACTGGAATGAATGTTCTTAGATTATTCGTTCTTTAAGTTATTCATCTTATTTTCATCGACTCCAACCACGGCACCAGCAATCATTCTTTGGAATTGTCTCATTGATACATATGATCCTCATTCATCTTCTCGGATTGACACAAACTTTAAAAATTTGAAACATCAAAAATCCTTTGTGGAAGTAGTCAACAACATCTATGATATACCATTGATTCAGCTACCAAATCCATATGTGAAGGGTGATAGGATTCCAATATCAGTTTCTAAAGATGAATATCAACTTGGTCTAGAAGACTGCAAACATGATCTACATGGGAGAGTAATTTGGCTAAAGGGGACTTCTCCTCTCACTGTAGCTGCTCTGAAAAACAAAGCTCTCTTCCTTCTGGAAATCAATAGGTAAGTGGGGTCTCACCTCATTAGGGAAATGTTATTATGAGTTTTGATTTTCTTCCATTAAGGGAGTGTAGATAGTTATACTGGACAATTATTGGAACCTGAATATGGGGTTTCTAAGACTTTTCCCTTGGATAAGGGATTTTAATCCCTCTATTCTCAAACAATCTTCTGCACAAGTGTGGATTAGAATTTATAGTCTCTCGCAAGAATACTAGAGGTTGAAGATACTTTTTGTTATCGCAAGTAGTGTGGGAATACCTCTCTGCACAAATGTTGCCACAACCAAACATTGTTTAGAAAAATCATTTGGTCACTATGTCAGAGTTATTATGGGTCTAGAAATAACAAGTGGCCTTAGAGACAAGGTTTTGGTGGAGAGAAAAGGATTTGATTTTTTCGTAGACATAGAGTATGAGAACCTACCAGATTATTTCAGCTATTGCAAATGTATTGGATATCACTATGACATATGCAAGAGAAAACCGTTGGATAACACTCAAAATGCTTAGAATCAACATGACAAAAAGGATGCTGGTAAGATCAAAATAGGACAAGAACCAAAAAAGACTAATGTCCAGGTGAGATGAAAACAAAGAAAAAGGGAAAAACCCATGTGGTGGAAATAACACGTGATGTAATGCATACTAATGAGGTTTCTCAAAATCCTTAAGTGGAGGCCCAAACCATTGCAACTTGGAAGGCCAATGTGTCTACTAACACAATGATTCATTTTTTAGTGATGGGGGAGAGAGAAAACAATGAGGTGGAAAGATATTATACTGATAAAGATTTTGGATTAGAAAGTTCTATAGGAACATATTTTATGGATGCTACACAATATGATCTAGAGTTGGCCCTACACAATTGTCCTAGTGAAATGCCTCTACTAGAGTGTGAGAGGTATTGCTAACTCTCCTATAAAACTAGCTTTAAAAGGAATATTTCATGTAAATAAATCTCACTTTGTTTTTATTTATAAACCCTTGATGGCTTTTGATAGCTTTCCCCCTAGATGGTTTGGTAGAATAGGCTTTAAACTCTTTGTTGTGAAAAATAGAGAGGACCTGGAACCAAACCTTTTGTGATGTTATCTCATTAGCCTTGAACCTGAGGTTATTGCTATTGATAATTAGCAAGTCTCATTTTTTTTTAAATCTAGTGACAACACCTCTGGTATAACTGTTGTATATGCTTCCACCAACCATGTTACTAGGAGATCCATTTTGCATAACCTCAGCAATATTCAAACTCAATACAAGATCTACTGGTCTTTCATAGGTGACTTCAATTGTATCTTAGGAGCTCAGGAACATAAAGGGGTTAATCTGGCAGCTCGAACTCCTATTGAGTATTTCAATCAATGGATTAATGTTAACCTTATCATTCATGTCCCACCCACTGGCTTTTGGTTCAGTTGGAGCAATGGTAGAAAAGGATCTAACCATGTCGAAAGAAAGTTAGATATAACTTGTCGTGATGCGAAAAATACCTTAGTGAAGCTCGAATGAACAATGAAGTCACAACCAAAGTTTATTTTTTAAAGGGGAAACATTAATGAAATCCTAAAAGAAAAAAATATTGTCATTATATCTAAGTTCAGGTTCGCGGGTCGATTATGCGTGAGGAAGGTATTAGCACCCTGTGATATCTATTGTAACCAATGGGGATCGCTTGATTAGTTTTGGGAATAAGAGTGTTAGCCTAAGATAATTTTGATTTCTTCTAATTATTACAATGTATTAACAAAAATAAATAAAAGGGAAAATAGGTTTTTTATTAGGGTGTTTGACGAGATGTTGAATCTCACTTCTACGTATCCCTAGATGCGATGGGGAACTCAAAGCTACGTAGTTTTGGGTAGAAAATATTTGTTTGTTGATTGATGATAAGTCCAAGCTTTTGAGATTTGCATTAATTTTGGTAAAACTAACTTGACAGCAAGATGTTGGACAAGATGTCTTAACATGAAGAACAAATTGAAGAACAAGATGTCCTATCATGATGATTCGACATTTTTGTCTGTTACTTTGCAGTTTTGATACTGCTAATTTACTTCCAGATTTCAGAATATGTGGGAATGTTTGTTTATCCTAGGCGGCGTTCAAGATTGAGGAATCAGAGATTCTGTTTGAATTTGAATATGTCTTTTTCTAAGTGTGAATACATTTTAGAAAACATTGGATTGAAGAAACTATTATTAAGGAGAATAAGTTGCAGATTCTGTGCAACAGAATTGCTACGTTTTTGAAGCCCAAATCTAGTCTAGTTTATGGTTATAAATATGATGGATTTAACCTAATCAAGGTGTGGAAAATACATTGTTGTTTAGTGAGTTTTAGGGTTTGTGCATTTGTAATCCTCTCTTGTATCGTGTATATACTAGAGTTGGACTGTTTGCATTGAGTTGTAGTTTTTGCCACTACTGTGATTGAAAGGGAATTGAGAAGGGTCTCATACCTAGGAGAGTCTTAGGTAGAAATTAATCAGGGTAATGACTAAGTGATAAGTTGTAAACTGGAGGTTGTTTAGCTTAGAATTAATACTATGTAGTGGATTTCATTCCTGGCTTGGTAGTCTCAGACGTAGGTGTTATTGTACTTTGAAATGGGTTAACAATTAATGTGTGTTCATTTACTTTCTGCAATTTTCATTGTGCTACTTCTTGTAATTATGCTTAAAGCAGAGATCAAGTGTCTTAACATCTCTTAGGACATCTGAGATCTGCATACCAGAATTCCAATTGGTATCAGAGCATGCATCCTGCTCTGTATCTGGGTGAGATTCAAGGAAGTTACTTTTTGGTGTAATGGACAAGGAAGGAGGAATATTGAATAGACCATCCATCCTTGATGGATCCAATTACGAATATTGGAAAGTGCGCATGGTGGCCTTTATTAAGTACATGGATTTGCTTGGATATCTATGGTCAAAGGATGGGATCCACCAAAGGCTAAAGATCAGCAAGGTAAGATTACTGATATGATAAAGCCTGAGGAAGACTGGGATGATGAAGATGACAAGCTAGCTCAGGATAATTCCAAAGCATTGAACGCCTTATTCAATAGAGTGGACAAGAACATCTTAAGATTGATAAAGAATTATACTGTTGTAAAATATGCTTGGGAGATTTTGAAGACTGCTCATGAAGGAACCTCTAGATTGAACTCATCAAGACTTCAACTTTTTACAACCAAGTTTGAGAACTTGAAGATGAAGGAGGATGAAAGTATTCAAGACTTTCACATGAATATTTTTGATATAGCCAATACTTCAAGTGATCTAGGAGAAAAGAGTCCAAAAAATCCTAAGATCTCTTCCAAAGAAATTTGACATGAAGGTGACTGTCATTGAAGAAGCCCAAGACATAAACACCATGAAGGTGGATGAACTCATGGGATCTCTTCAAACTTTTGAATTGGAAATCAGTGAGAAATCTGAAAAGAAGAAAAGCATAGCCTTGGTGTCTAATCAAGGTGAATGTGAACCAAATTCCAAGGAAGAAATGTCTAAGGCTTTTGTGTTACTTAGAAAACAGTACAACCAATTGGTAAAGAGGATGGATGAGGAGTCAAGATTAAGTCATTCAACATCAACAAAAGGAATGATTTTGGAAGAAGATCCAAAACTGAAGAGAAAGCCAACAAAGGCAAAGGAATCCAATGTTATGAATGCGAAGGATTTGGACACATCAAATATTAGTGTCATGTCTTTCTCAAGAAGGAGAAAAGAGGCTTGTCTATATCATGTTCTGAAGATGACTCCTCAAGTGAAGGAGAAATTTCTAAACAGGTGAGAAGTATGTCAGTTGGGAGAGAATCAATATAATGTTATCATTCGTCTTGAGGCTGAAAGATTGAAGCACTTGGATACCATTTCTGACCTGAAGGAGGAATTTGTGTTGCTCAACTCAAAACTTAACAATATGACAAAAACTGTAAGAATGCTCAATATCAGTTCTGATGTGTTGGATGATATTCTTCAATTTGGAAGGAATGATAGAGATATAAAAGGGCTTAATTATAATGGTTAATATGTGATAAATAAAGGAAAAGAGTCAACATTGAATTCTACTCATCCCAAAAGAAAGCAGAATTAAAAGATGTCAAGAAAGATGTCCCAACATCAACAAAGACATCAGAAGAATTCCTCAAAGAGAAAGAAGCAAGACTATAAATGTTATCATTGTGGTAAGTTTGGTCACATAAAACCTTAATGCTAGAAGTTACATGGTTATCCCGAATCTGCTTCACAACCCAGAAAGATGCAGATTGTTGGTAAAGCATAAAAGAAGTGGACTCCTAAGAATGGCGTTGCTGCTCTCATAGCTCATACCTCTCTAAAAGCTTCTGCTAGAGAGGGGTGGTAATTTGATAGTGCTTGTTCTAGACATATGACTGGTGTCAAGAAATTTTTGGTGGATATTAAATCACATGTCACTAGCTATGTCACTTTTGGAGATGGATCCAAAGGTGAAATAAAGGGTGTTAGGGAGCTGGACTATACTGGGCATCCTAGTCTTGATAATGTGTTGCTTTTTAGAGAACTGACTGCAAATTTGATAAGTATCAGTAAACTATGTGACTAAGGTCTCAAGGTTAACTTTACTAAATTTGAGTGTCTGGTAACAAATGATAAAGATGAAGTTATCATGAAGGGAGTCAGATCTAAGAGTAATTACTATGTGTGGATTCCTTTAGAGACAGAGTGTTCACCCACATGCTTGAGGTCAGAAGTTGATAAAGTGAAGCATAAGAAACTTTGTCATCTATAGAAGATGAAGAAATTTGTGCCAAATGCAGCAGTCAGAGATACCCCTAATCTGAAGATTTATGGAGGAAGAATTTGTGGTGAATATGAAATTGGTAAGCAAAACAAGATGTCACACATGAAGCTACAACATCTTACTACTTCAAGGATTCTAGAACTACTTCATAGGGACTTGGTGGGATCTATGCAGGTTAACAATCTTGGAGGAAAGAGGTGTGTATGTGTTGTTGTTGATGACTCAACTGTTGAAGCTGAATACAAGGCAACAGGGAGTAGTTGCTCTCAACTCATGTGGATGAAACAAATTT